TGTGTGTGTGTGTGTGTGTGTGTGTGTGTGTGTGTGTGTGTGTGTGTTCATGTATGAGGTTGGGAGTACATGCATATATACAAGTGACATGTATATATGTGTGAGGGCCAGATGCCAACCTTGGGTGTCATTCCTCAGGCACCTTTCACCTTGTCTGTTAAGATGGTCTCTTCATCGGCCTCAGCAGTCATGCTGGGTGGCTGGTCAGTGCAACCCCAAATCCGCCTTTCTCTGCCCCTCAGTGAGCATCTACCTTTCTCCATCCTCCTGGTGCTGGGATTACTAGCACATGCCACCATGCAAGGCTTTTTACGAGGGTTCTGTGTGGGCTCTAGGAGCTTGAACTTGGGTCCTCATGCTTTCAGGGCAAGCACTGTACTGACTGAGCTATCTCCAGTCTAAGAGCAGTTTCTTAAAGAGCAATGAAATGTGAAATATGAAAACAAATCAATGAAATGTTTGTACTGTTAACTTCCATGTCTGAGAATTCCCCGTCTGCCTAGTATTTTTAGTGGATCTTTTTACTCATGTATTATTTTACTCATTTATTTCAAGACAGGGTTTTTTCGCGTAGTCCTGGCTGTCCTGGAACTGGTTCTGTAGACCAGGGTGGTCTCAGACTCGGGGATCTGCTTGTCTCTGCCTCCTGAATGCTGGGATTAAAGGTGTGTACCATCACATCTAGCCTGTGTTATTTTAAAAGATTATTATTTCATATATTATTGGCTGAGTTAATTCATCCAAATGTTGGCACATTTCAGCATACACCACTTATTTTTAAAACCACATTGGTTAAAACTGTACTAGTCTCAGCTGGGCAGTGGTGGTGTGCTCATAATGCCTACACTAAGAAGGTGGAGGCAGGAGGATCAAGAGTTGCAGCCATGCATACTAGTGAAGACTATAAAAGAAAGGGAGGGAGGGGGACAGAGTGAGGGAGGGAGATTAGTTTCTGTTTTGTTGTTTTAATCCATTTGTTTACACAAATGCATGCCGTAACACATATATGGGGGTCAGAGAACAACTCTCAGGAATTGGTTATCTCCCTCTACCATGTGGGTTCTGGGGACTGAAGTCAGGTTTATCAAATTTGGTAGCACAGGTCCCTGAAAGAAAACTCTTAAATGAACCGATCTTTTTATTTATTTTAATTTACGAGTGTGTCTGTGTTTTTTCTGTGTGTGTACACGGGTGCTTATGCATGAGCATACAAGTGACCTCCTTTATGTTCTCCCATACCCAGACCCCCTCAGAGCTGGGTAACTCAATGTAAACCAATGCCAAGATCAAACTAAAGCAGCTTGTGAAATTTAGAGACAGTAAGCCATTCAAATAAAAAAAAAATGAATATATGGAGGAAGAAATACAATTGGGGAGACACCTTAATGATATTGCAAGATTATATGTTACCCACACATCATCTTTTCTAAACTTATCCATCACCTCATTTCTTCCAAGGTAATAATATCAATCAGATACTCAAGGAATGAAATAAGAAAAAATTTCAGTGCATCAGCTAAGTTCACAGGGCCAAGACAAGACAGAGGCAACCTGCCTCAAAGGAAGGGTAAGCCTTGCTCATGACTGTGGTTGGGTGCCCTCCCAATGTTACTAATTATTTTCATAAAAAGCAGTAAAGTCAGTGAATTTGATGAAGATGTTACAAAATACTTTCTAGAGTACCAAGATCTCTGAATCCACTGAGTGCACAGAACTCAAGTTAGAATCTATTCTCAAGAAAGGGACCCAACATAGTATACATTTAAAACCTGAAATTAAAAGGTTAAGGCAATAATAGCAATAGCTACCATTTGCTACACACCTACTGTGTGCAAGGCCTTGTGCTAAGTAGCCCCCCATACATATTAACTCATTTAGTTTTTACCCGACAATGCAATGACCGTTACTCTGATGACTAACAAACCAAATCTCAATGAAACTAGAAACAATAAAAATTTTCAATTAAACTGGAAACAAAAAACAAAAACAGAAACAAAAAAATGTCCATTACCCTAATAAGAAAACTGAGGTTCAGAGGGCTTGAATAACTCTCAAAGTTAAACAATAAAGGGAAATGAACTCAGGGCGACTCTTCCTATGGCAAACAATGAATCAATAACAAGTCAAGGATCAAAACTCATGGCCAAAATACAGAGTATCTGGAGATGTGTTTACCTGTATGATTTATGCAATTCCATGACCTTCTCTTCAAGTTCCTTGGTCTGATTTGGAGCCAGTTTAAAATCACTAACATAATCCACGCCATGGAGTTCTGGGTCGTAGTCTCCCAGCTCAGACTGGATGGTATAAGACCCAAGGAGGGCTAAAGTTGCAAAGGAACAGGGCAGACGTCCAGCAACAATGTCCTGCCGAAGCTGAAGACATAGATAGTATCTACATCCAAAAAAGAAAAGATGCAGATGTCTCAATAACAACAACAGAACAGAGTACAGACAGACAGAAAGGGAAAAGGCGGGGACAGGCAGGGACGGAGAAGGAAAGGGACTAAGGAAGCAGACAGGTAATTAATTCTTCAGTAGAGGATAGCAGCACATGACTAGTCACTGTAACACTTTCTTCCTTTTGTTTGAAACAGTTTCATACAGCAAAAATACTGTAACTATGTTGAACAGAGTTGGAAATCAGTTTAGAAAAAGGGGAAAGTAGGAAATATCTGAAGGAGGTAAAGAAGTTGATATCTTATTGAGCACATACTAGTAAGTATTACATACGTACATGTATAAAATGAATGAAACACTCTCTCAGGGAGAGAGTCGGCATCTCAGCTGAGAACAACTTTACAACAAAGTAATCTTAGAAGATGCTATAGGCTTTCCACAGCACTTAATAATCATTTTTAATAGTTCACTCCCTCATTTACATTTTTTCCTATATTTTTATTTTGTATATGGGTGTTCTACCTGCATGTATGCCTCTGAACCATGTGCATACATTGTCCATGGAGGTCAGAGGAAGGTGTTGGATATCCTGGCACTGGTGTTAAAGACAGGTGTGAGCTGCCATGTGGGTGCTGGGAATTGAACCTGGATCCTCTGGATGAGGAGCCTGTGCTCTTAATCACTGAGCCATTGTTAAAATCAAACAAAGATAATTTTCTTTAAAAATTCAATGGGCTATTTTTATGTAAGATTTGTGCTATAAATTAAATGGGCTCAAAAGACAGGTCAGTTCATACCGGTGGTCTAATAGGGAGATAATAATTATAATTATCATGAAATTTTGCTTTTTCCAACTCTAAGAGGAATGCAGTAGGACAGTTTGGTCTTGCCTTCAGAGACTGGTTTAAGAGGAGCCCCGCTGACCACGTGGTGTAACTTGTAAGCAGGGCTGGCTCCTATCAGGTTCCAGCCTTTTAGGCTCACTTAGCATTTGCAAGCCTGTCTTGAAGGGATCAAAGCCTTGTATTTTAGACTAAACATTTAACATTTTTCTTCTGTTCAGAGTAGGGAAATTCCCAGAGCTTATAACAAGAATTACAGTTATTTATACAGCTACTAAACAAGTATTTACCTTGTTATGTCTTCTGTTAACTGTGCTGGGTCAGGTGGATAAAATTTCACATTAAATGTGAAATTCCAAGGAACACCTATAAAAATAAAGATAGGAATTTTGGTTTTACGTTTAAATTTTTGATTGAAAATACTCAGTTTTCTTTCTTTTTTTCTTAAATCGTTCAACATTTTTATGTTTTGTGCTTAGAAATCACCCAGGAAAGCTAGAAGACCTCTTTTTTTTTTTTTTTTAAACCTTAGCACACAGTCTTGACTATTGTGGATTATAGTGGATTAGAACCATAAAGGCAAAAGCAGATGAAGGAACAACCCTGCAGGTCGATGTGGTCACAGAACTTGGTTTGGAAATGTGAGCCATCAGAGGTCAGTGGGTACTCTTTTACAGTTTTGAGAATATTCATATGTGATGTCAACATTGTCTAAAATAGGCAAAAGCTCAAGTGCACATATGCACACACAATTAAATGGTTGTAAAAGAAACAAAAAATTAAGATAAAATAAGTTCAGCAAAATAATATTATTTGAGGAATCTGGGTAAAGGCTACCTATGAATTTTTTTACTAGTCTCTTTTAAATTCTCATGCTTGAAATTATGTTAAAATTTTTATTAATAACTTATTTCTCTCTTATTTCTCTTCTTTCTCTCTCCATTTCTTTCTCCCCCCCCCTCTCTCTCTCTCTTTCTCTCTCTCTCTCCCTCTGTGTGTGTGTGTGTGTGTATATGCCACATGTATATGCAGCTGCTCACATAGACCAAAAAAGGTTATTGGATCCCCTGAAGCTGAAATTACAGGTGGTTGTGAGCTGCCTACTATGGGTGCTGGGAATCAAACTCAGGACCTCTGGAAGAGCAACAAGTGTCCTCTACTGCTGAGCCATTTCTCCAGCCCCCTTAGTTAATGATTTTTAATTAAATACAGCCTGCATGTCTGTATGAGAGAGTCAGATCCACTGAAACCTGAGTTACAGACAACTGTGAGCTGCCATGTGGGTGCTGAGAATTGAACTCAGGTCCTCTGGAACAGCAGCCTTAACTCTTAACTGCTAAGCCATCTCTACAGCCTATAGTTAATGATTTTTTAACAGGACTTTCTGGGGCTCCAGAGATGGCTTAGCAAGTATGAAGACCTGAATTCAACTCTCCAGAACCCATGCTAAAAAGCTGGTCATGGTTGCATGTGCTGTAAGCCCAGCAATGTGGGAGGGATGAGGTACAGAAATCAGTGGAACTTGCTGACCACGAGCCTCCTTACAACTTCAGTGGCAAGGCCCTGTCTCGTTGGAATAAGGGGGACAGTGATGGAGCAAGACCCGACATTTTCCTCTGTCCTCTGCTGGCAAGAGGACTCACATATGAGAGTGAGTTTAAGATGGCTTTCTTCTGAGTGCACAGGTGAGAATGTCTGAAGTGGCCACAACCATTTTAAAGGAGGCACTGCCAATATCTTACAAAGGTGAAAAGAACAATTCATATTTTACTTCCAAACGGTCTACTAAACCCTATTTTCAGGCACATTTCCTAAATCGGGATTTTTTTTAAAGATGTAGGTTATGATCCATTGTAAACTTTTTTGATGGAGGAAATATCTGCACTTGAAAATATGAAACAGGTATAAAAGAAAACATCAGGATGTCACCCACATAAGGGTTAGTAACTGTTTGGTGAAATTTTCTTTCTGATCAGAGTTTCAAAAATGATATTGAGTAAGAAAAGTCACATAATTTATATGACATTCAAAGGTCAAAATAAAGTCATATTTTTAATAATAAAGATGCAGAAGTAATTAAAAACACTCCCCAAAATTCAATGGAATAATTATCACAAAGTTCAAGACGTGGTTACTTTTGGAGATGAAGTGGAGGAGGGTGCATGAGCTAAAGGTTTTTTAAAATCGAATTTGAGTAAATTACATAATAATTTTCTGCATACAGAGAAGGTGTAAGCATATCTTACCTACAGACTATGCCTGGTTTAAATTTTGTAAATGTCTGACATTGTGTTAAAACACATGCACACATGCTCTCTCTCTCTCTCTCTCTCTCTCTCTCTCTCTCTCTCTGTGTGTGTGTGTGTGTGTGTGTGTGTGTGTGTGTGCGCGCGCACATGCAAAACACGTGTGCAGCTGCTCTCAGAGGCCAGAAGAGGTTACTGGATTCCCTGGTGCTGAAAATATAGGTAGCACAGGACAAGGGTGACTGGCCTGACTCAGTAAGAGAGAGCCCTCTTCCAGAATCTAGAAAATAAAGACCTTAAAAGAAAGCTGGCAAGAGAAAATAAGACAGATAAACTCAGAAGAAGATACACAAAGTTGACTCTAAAGGAATTTCAAAACAAAGATAAAGCATCTACTGTATGTTGTAGGCAGGAATGGCTATATGCTAATGTTGAGGGATGGTTTCATACACTGTGTATTCAGATGCCAATTTCTGTGCCCAGACATCTGGCTGCAGTCCAGATGATGGCATGGTCAAGCATCTCCAGTGTCAATGTTATATAAAAGTTGTTTTCCATCACCTCTGACTGGTTAATAAAGAACTGATCAGTCAATTAACTGAGCAGAAGAGAATAGGGCAGGACTTCTGATCCCAGTCTAGGGGTCCCAAGGGACCAGAGAGAGAGGGAGGGGGGAGAGAGACAGAGATGGGGGAAGGGAGAGAAGAGAAAAGGTAGAAAGACCATGTGGACAGACCAGGATTCGCCATGAGGTTGGGATGAGAAAACAGCCATGGGGCCGCACATGGAGCAGAGTGAGCCAGGGCAAGAACAGATGGCAAGTAACGGGCATGTGGCGGGGTGACAGGCAGCACAGCCAAGTCAGAACAGCTCAGAACCTGCAGCTTAGTGCCTGAAGCTTGTTAATAAAAATACCAGTCTCTGTGTCTTTTATTTTGGAGCTAAAACAGGCTTGAGCTGAAGTAGAAACGTCCTACAGTTATTTGGGAACAAAAGGGGCCCAAGACACACATCCTCCAAGAAAGCACATTTACATGAAAAGTATACAAACAAAGCTGGAAGGAGTACCCCCAGTGGACAGCAGAAGGAGTGCCCCCAGTGGACAGCAGAAGGAGTGCCCCCAGTGGACAGCAGAAGGAGTGCCCCCAGTGGACAGCAGAAGGAGTGCCCCCAGTGGACAGCAGCCTTCAATAGATAGGAAGAGATGTGACTGAAGAGAGTTCAACCTCTGTGGTCTAAACAAAAACAGAACACACACTAACACGTAAATGCATGTTAATTTTGGGTGAACAGGGGATACAGTCTCTGTTGCATAGTCTTCATACTTTGTCCAGTTCCCACTACAATTTAAATCTTTGGAGTTTTGTTTTGTTTTGTTTTGTTTTGTTTTGTTTTTTACGGCATATGCTAGGTAGGTGTTCTACCACTGCTATACTGGCCATCCTAAATCCTACTTTTAAGAATCTGGGTTGGAGATAGCTCAGTTGTTAAAAGTCTTTTAAGGACAAAAACGTCAATCTGGTTCCAAAGACCCACAGTAAAGAAAAAAGTCTAGGCATGGTGATATGCTTTTGCTGTGCTGGGGAGACGCAGACAGCAGATCCCTGACACTCACTGGCCAGCAAGCCTAGCACGATCAGTGAGCTGAATTAAAAAAAACAAGGTAGACAGTGCCCAAGGATGGCGCCCAAAGTTGGTCTCTGTCCTCCATACATGGGTGCATACCTGTACACACACACACACACACCAAAATAAATAGATAAATAAATAGTATCTATAGACATTTAGCAAGTGCAGAGATATATTCACAAACGTAAACATGAATGCAATAGGAAATTAATAACTTGAAGATTAACTCAAAACACATAGACACATGATTGCTTACATATGGTGTGTGTGATTTTTTTTAAGTCAATGAAATATAGATAGATAGATGAGTGGATAGATGGGAAGGAAGGAAGGAAGGAAGGAAGGAAGGGAAGAAAGAAGGAAGGAAG